ATTAAAATGCTTATTGGCGTTACAGTGTAATCATTCGAATGATATTTAATAACATATATCGTACAATAAGCCTAATAGTTCAGTCATCAATCACATTTCGTGTATATACAATCGTATTTATTATACTAAAAGTCTGATGGATAAAATTATTAATCCAATAATTTACTGAAATAATTTTACAGACATAATTGAAAAACAAAGACAGAACAGGAAAATTAATTTTAATTTTTAAATCAAATTTATTAAAATTGTAATGATAAAAATTATATTAATTATTTATATTAATAAAAATTGTATTATAATTGTATAAGAGAAATACTTTTAATGTCACATATTAATAATATTTATGCAAATGATAGATTTTAGGTTTATGTGCATTATAGCAACTATTAGTATTAAAATTGCATTAACAATCTATTACTTCATAGATAAGTGAAAATTAATTATTTCATGGTTAAAAGAGGTGTATGTACATTGCACTGAATATGTTGAATTGCTTGGTCGGTTCGACTCAGTTGAATTAATCAATAATATAATCAATATTCGATTCATTAGAATAAAAAATAAATGACTAATTTTCAATAATAAACAATTGAAAATAAAATCCTTGATCTAGATCATTATGGTGATGAAATAATAGCTTGATTGAATGTGGCGATTAATTTTTTTAAGCATTCACACTTTTATGATAGAATTATTATATTATAGTTAAAAGTTCTATCGCATAAATGTATTTATAAATCAGATTTTTACAGTAATTATTATGATTCTTGAAAATTTCGAATATTTTCATATCTAACATCACCATCTTTTGCATAAAATTACTATTCAATTACATTTTATTATTCTTTATAATAATGTTCATATTTTCCTTGTAGCTTAGTACAAAAGTTTTGTGAAAGCACAAACATAACCTTATTTAAAATAATATATATATATATATATATATATATATATATATATATATATATATATATATGTTAAAATTTTATGGATATGTACGTGGAATTGCTTAATTGTAAGACACGTTCGGTGCTTACAATTTCAGAATAGGTCATTCAATCACAATTACTATGAACAAAATCAAAAGACAATCAATAGAAAATCCAAAAGACTGTTAATATTTGGCTATGGTATAAATCAATCAGTACCGGTATCAGTGCTTATCACTCATTAGACGCAGTGAAAGTACAAATTCTATATTAGCGATCTATCGACGGTGAAAGCTATTTTTCCACTCCCACTTTCATCGTCAAGCGGCGCTTGACTAATTGAATTCATCGGCGCGCGCCTATATGTCTTTCGGTGCCGTATACGCGCGTGTGCGCGCCATAAAAAAGGGCGTGACTCTTTTTTTTCATCGCAAGTGCGAACAGCTGATTCTCCATAACGGTCCTCACGCGTCTCGTGTTGAGACGGATGCAAGGGTAGGTCAGTGCTCTAGGAGGGCTTCGCAATGTACCCTTCCTGGCGAGTGGCTCGCCCATTTCCTCTCTCTCTCTCTCACTCTCTTTAGATTTCTCTCGGGCCGCCCTCCCCCCGCCCCTCTCTCTCGCTCACAAAGCCATGGCCCGTAGCCATCGAGATGCGCGAATGTGTAAGGCGATTCACCGCTAATCAAGTCTCCCTTTTAGTAGCGCCTTCGTGTGCATGCGTACGTACATGCATACATCGTACCTTTACTTTTGGCGCAAAAAGTATGGGGTGTGGTGAGGGGGATTCGAAAAGCAGGGGGCGCCTGGAAGGCAGACATATCCAGTCAACCACCTAACGCGAGGGGGCAGGTGAGCACCTGGTGCTGGTGTACTGCCACTACGAACTCCGCCGATGGACGCCTGGCACGAGCTCTGCCTGCACCCCAAAAGGTTCTCATTCTCTCTGATCGAGTGCACGTTGCCGTTTTACCTGCCTTATCTCCATCCCTCCACTTTCTCTCTTTATTTCCTATTTTACATTAAAATAATTATAAATCTTGGCGGTACTTTTGATCTTCGACTCTTTTTAATATGTAGAAAAAAGCGTCTGTTTATGACCTTCTCTTGAATTTACGGTTTTAAAAGCTTAATCAATACGCGAAAATTAATTACTTTTTTACTGGATATTTCTATTTTTTAATAAAATAAGCATTTTTAAAGAAAATTTCATATACTATATTTACTGTACTTTAATCAAAATCAATTTTCTATAGTTAACTTGAAGTAAACTTGATGAAATTTTGCCAGAATTTCTTGACCTTTTTAAAGGACATTAATACATTGAACGAAGACTTTTAAATAACTTAATTAATATAAATGTAAAAAATGACTAAAACTAAATTTCAAACATCATTATTCAATTCAAATATTATAATATATAATTGACATTATTATTACGAATGTAAATGATGTTAAAGAACATTTCAAACATGCATGAAATATTGAATAATTACCAAGGAATAAGTCAACACCTTAATATAACATGTGTTTATATTCTAGTTAAAATAATTGCTGGTTCACCGAAAAAAAAAACAACGAAAATAACGAGGGTATATAGACTAGAAATGTGAGATGGAAAATGAGAGGCACTGTGAATACGGCGACTGGCCCGTAGACCGCACAACATTTAGAGTTCTTTTGATAGGGCGATCACTCACGAAGTGCTTCTGTATATATATATATATATATATACAGAACGACAGAGAGAGGGAGAGAGAGAGAGAGAGAGAGAGAGAGAGATTCATATTTATCTACATATATATATATATATATATATATATAGCTCTACATAGGCAGCACAAGACCCACGTCATGACCCCCATCAAGAACTAGAAAATCCCTTTTAGGCTTCGACACCGATTACGTTTACTACCGAGCACAATCTTTAAATCACATAGCTTTATAATATCAATCTGCCTACTTCTGCCATTCCCTTTTTCTGCTTTCTTTTTCTATCTTATTCTCACAAAAGCTCAAGAATAAAATCGTTCTTTCACCGCTTCTTTGTTGACCGAATATGTAAAATGTTAACGGGGTTATTTAAACAATGATTTTTGAGGGTTAAAAACTATGTACGGCAAGGATAAATATAAGTTACATTTTAAATACAAATAACATTGAAAAAATATTAGTCTATTCTAGCGATTAGCAAATGATACTTTAATGAATTTATTGAATTACATATAATATATAGAAGAATTTAAAAATTCAAATTAATAAAGCAACATTGACAATTGATTTAATTAATGATAATCAATTGCCTTCTACTATATATTAGAATCTAAATAATTAAGACATAAATATAGGTTGATAATAATTATGCTGATGAGGTGAATGCAATAACAATAACGATTTTTTTTTTTTATTTTTAACTGTTAATAATAAATTATAAATTATAAAAATTTATTGTTAAAATCTTTACATCGTGTTTTAATTTTAATTATGTATTTCAAAAATAATCATCATAAAATAGATAATAAACAATAGATAAAATATTAGCTAACCTATTAGTTTGTTTTGAATAAATTTAAGAATATTTGAATGCTAGGATGCGGTTTAATTAGTTCCTATGAATTATAGAATCCAAAATTTTATGACTTTATAGCAATTTATGTAATTTCTTTGTGATGTATGGAACATTATTATTATATGCATGAAATCCATATTTCAACTAAATGGTTAATTCGACAATTTTTTACTCTCGGAAATTAATTTTATTTGCGTTTATTTTATAGAAATTTAAGTTTTGCCATTTAATTAGATTTATGGAGAATAGAATTTGTTTTTGGTGTTGAATTTATAATTGTTTAAATTATTTCATCCAGACAAAATAAATGTTGATATACAAGTTATTTCACACATATTTCGTAAAATAAATAAAATTTTACAATAAAAACGAGATCTTTTATGTTAGAAATCTGTTATAAAAAAAAAAAAAAAAAAAAAAAAGTGTAGAATTACCACATATATATTAAGCGTATTAATCATTTGTTATATTGTAATTTTACTAAATTTGTATATGTTTTATAGTTTATTATTAACTTTATTATGAATAACAATTATATATAATAAAATAAAATTATTAAATAGTGTTTAGTACTTACTAATGTATAATAAGTTATTGATTCAATTATCGTTTTATTATGGATTGTATGAAATAAAAAAACTTGAACATAAATTTCCAGATTATCCGTTAATCTTGTATTTTCTGGTTTAAATGAGTTTGTATTATGATATTTTTTACGGTCGTGTTTGTTTTTGTCAGGCAAGTCACTTCACAAATGATTTCGTGGGTCGTATTTTTATAAAATGTTGTAATAACATTTTCTACTCAATTACTTGTACGATCTGAAGTCTATATACTTGCTTTAAAAAATCTGTGCTTATTAGATATTTATAAATATCTGCGATCCTTCTTCCATTTATACAAACAAATATTACAAAGCAAAAAATTTATTTTTATATTATTTAATAAAAACAAGTTTTAATCACATTAAGTTGAACGATACTTTAAAATTAAATAAAAATGATATACAGAAATACTACTAGTTTATAAAATAAATAAATTAATTAAATAACATTGTTATGATATATATATTTGACAGTAAATGGCATAAAATGAGTTATATTTTAAAAATAATTTTTATTTGATAAATTATATTAATAAATAAGATTTTGATGTTCAACTGTACAAGTATTACAATTTTTAGTAATTTTATTTGGGTGAATTATTATATAATATCTCATAGTTTGAACTGCGAAGTAGTTGAATAAGCTTGCAAATGTCTTTATAAATTAAAATTAAAAAAAAGTTCTAAATTGGATAATAAAGATCTTTGTAAATGTACAAACATGCCGACATAATGTACTTTCATAATAATTAATAAAAGAATGAAGTAAATTATGGATTATCAGTTTTGCAAATGTTATTGAAATGTCTATGAAACATTATCAGAATAACTTACGAATCAACGTTTTCTCGTTTATAGTTTATACGTCTATTATTTAAATTAAATAAGTGCTTACCCATAATGCGGTTCATTCTTATTGGTGGCGTATCTTCGGATAAGCTAGAGCGGCTAAGCTCCAGGGCGATGCTGGTCACAGGCGTCATTGGCAAGGAGTCGAGGGTTTGCAGCGATATCTCGGTATCCATCTCTGCAATTTTTGACAGCTTCAACTTGCCGATACTTAAGTTCAATCTACGCGGCATCACTGACTTGGCGTAATTATCTACTTCTTTTCGATAATGCACAATATCGGTACAATAGCAATTTAACACGCAATATGCAGGAGAGGTTCTTTCTTATTCGTAAAATGCAACTACTTCAATGTTTACTTGAAGCAACATTCGCTTATTTATTTATAATGTCTTTAAATGTCAATCGTATTTACGTGGAATGGTCACCAAGTTCTTCGGTAAGAAGTTATGCGTACAAATTGTTAAACTTTGTAATATCAAACCTCCATGTATCACCTGAAATGAAAATTTTTTTTTTTTTATTACATAGGTTACTCGAAGCCAATAATTCTAAATTTATAACACTTGAAGTATGCCGATAAAATAAAATCATAAGACGTTCTTATTAAATTAGTAGAATATTAACTACATTACTCGAATGTCTGGTCACTCACTCAATCTTCGAAACAGATAAATCTAAAGATGTAAAGATAATTATCAATTGCAGTAAATATGCATTTTCAAGGTTATAAACAGTTTTCGTTACAACTAATTGCATATTTGATAACCGGAAAGTGTGATAATAAATATACCGTTGGTATGAATTGGGAAATGTTGTTAAGAGCTTTTTCAAAAGACTAGAAGAAAGCAAAAGGGCACCGGACTGCTCTTTAAAATACACTACGAACTAGTTCTGACCCGAGTGATCGCGCGAAAAGAAACGATAAAAGCAAATGCGATCGGGAGAGAGGGGGGGGGGAGCAAGTGTCAAACGGCCTCTAGTCGTCAGGCGGCTGGTCACATGTGCGATGTTAAAGACTCGGAAGGGCAATCGCGTTGCCGGGTCAATATTTGAGATAAACAGCGAGCGAGCGCCAACCGTCGGAGAAGAGCCCATTTGTGAAGCCAGAGTGCGAAAGAGAAATGTGAGCAAAGAGAGGGAGGGAGAGAGAACGAGTGAGTGAGCGAGTGAGTGAGTGAGTGAGAGAGAGAGAGAGAGAGAGAGAGAGAAAGAGAGAATGAGAGAAAATGAGACTGAGAGCGAGAGAACGCGGGAACGAGATTGGTTGGATTCGGATGAAGTTGTGCTGTACTACATTTAATCGTTTAATGAGTATAAAATTAAATTATTCAAATTTTTTATTTTCAATCATATTTCATATAATAATAATCATAATCGAACATTAAGATTAAATTGCAATAAATAACGAAACCATGATATTCATGTATCAAATTATAATTGCTCGGTTAGTGAAATATAAATAGTATATTTTTAATAAATACATTGATGTTAACACACACACAAATACACAAACACACACAAACACACACAAACACACACACACACACACACACACACATTTTATTATATTAACAATTGGATTCAACGTACTAACCATCTGCTACACAACTTGTAACAGTTTTTTCTTAAAAATAAAAAGAAGAACAAGGATTCTTTATATGCACGATAACGAATGAAACAGAGATGGGGATGGGGGAGAGAAACTACTAAAAACTTTATATTTTTGAACTTTCTCTGTTTCCCCCCTCTTTGTCCTTCTCTCTCTCTCTCTCTCTCTCTCTCTCTCTCTCTCACTGTCTTTTAAATGCTCATTTATATACACATTTACTCGCTTATTGATGCTTATTGAGATAACTAATGATGTTTGAATAGATGTTAAGTTCCATGACAGCATATAGCATTGTGATGCACATATGTTAGTGACAGATTTTGTATTAATTATAAATAAATTACGCTATAAAAAATTATGTGAAAAAATTTTGATCAATTTTGTAAAATGAAGCCGTAAATTATAATCTTTATAATTACGAGATAGATAAATTTTTTGACAAGAAATCTTTCTAAAGACTAAAATCACGATATTCTCAAGTAATTTAAACATTTTCTAAAAATTTATTTATATTATTAATAAAAATTTATGTATTTGGCGGATCTATTTTATAATTTATGAACCACATAAGTTTTTAATTGCAATTTTCGCATATATTGCAATAAAACAATAGGAATTTTAGAATAGAAAATTATTATAAAGATTATAATCAATTATAATATAAAAATGTATATTAATTTTAAATCATAAAACTTTTATGAATAAATCGTTAGGTAAATAATAATCTTAATTATAATTGTAATCAAAATTAGGTAACAATTCATTAAATAATGAATATATGAATTAAAATTATAGCATAAGATTATTCCCAACTAAATTACAATAGTACAGTAAAAAACAATTAATAAAAGATCAAAGATCAAACAAAGCCATTACTTTTAGCAATAATATTAATAATAACACAAATTTAATACTTATATTAATACCTCACAATTATGTTTACAACGAATTAGAACTAAATTCTATACTAATTAATTATTACAATTAAAAAATAATAGTTAAATTCTAGCTCGGGTATGTTCCAATAGAAAATTTAATTCTGTGCAGTATCAAGTGCATTTTAACTTCTAATTTCAATATTAATTATTTAACAATGACAGTTATTCATGGTATAAATCTAAATTTTTTATTTATGTAAGTTATTAATAGAAATTATATACACTTGCATAATTTTTTCATACTAATTTATATAATTTTTTCGTAGTAACATTTCTATTTTTATAATTATTTCAAAATTACTATTATAAGTCGATTTAAGATGCAGATTTCGAGATTTACACAATACGCTTGAGATAAATCTGCATTCATATCTTATTAAAAATGTTATTGAATAGTACATTGTAACTTTGCACTTAGGCTTGAAATCCATACAAAGAGCTTTGAAAAGACGATATCCGGCAAGCGTAGCATATTTGTCTAACGGTTACTTCTCCACGGATTATATTTGCAACGCGTGCAAAATTAACGAATGAATAAGCAAGACAGTCGAGAAACATTAAACTTACCATTTTGCCACCCACCTTTTGATCTATTTATCTTTTTACAACCCTTGTGATTTATTTTACCGCTTTTAAAAAAGTAGGAGATAAAAACAGACATGGGATATGGGATAAGGCAAAGCGAGTATGTATGCGAGTGCGCGCGCGCGCCCACCCGTTTATATGTGTGGTTTTTTGTGTTACTCTCTCTCTCTCTCTCTCTCTCTCTCTCTCTCTCTCTCTCTCTCTCTCTCTCTCTCTCTCTCTCTGTGTGTGTGTGTGTGTGTGTGAGCGAAGAAGACCAAGAGGATATTAATTTACGGGTGGTCCAGAAGTTTATGTTTCACTTTTTATAAATAATTTCAAGGAGCTTTACGAAATATAAGAAACATTCGTCCAGCCGCAAAAGGTAGTTTCATAGTTAAAAACCTATGCATCAAACGTTAAATATTATTATGTATACAATGGAATAGTTACAAGCACAGGGTTGTTATTGTATTATTTTAAACTTCTATGAGGCTCATGAAGCTTGGAAATCACCAACATCAATTTTGTATACAAAACGATTTGTGTTAATTCACAACTGGACGTAGTTGTTGATAAATTAAAATTAATATATTTGGATATTTTGAGGGAAAATATATCAATAGCGCATACATACTTTTTTAATTTAATAAATAAATATGATAATAATAAAAAAAAAAAAAAAAAAAAAAAAAAAAAAAAAAAAAAAAAAAAAAAAAAAAATTACAAATAGTTCGGTACTTACATCGATCGGATAAAAAGTGAAATGATAATAAGTAAGCTTTTTTAAAATACTCCGGCTTTATTTTGGGCTCATAATTAAATTTCTAGTCTGGGTATTAACAGCGATAATTATACATTTTATAACCACTATATCACTGTACATACGAAGCCGCAACATTATCATCAATGATGTATGTGGCGTTATCATTATGCAGGATTCGTATAAGCTTATCTTTCACTTAAATTTACGGATCGAAAATTGTTGTATAAAAATTTATAATATTATTTATAAGATATTTCCTCATTTTTTATTAGAGAAAGGTAATAATTAATTATGGTAAAAATAGTTTATTATACAAAATTAATGTAAATAAGCAATATTGTCATATATTGAAAGATAAAACCGAATTATTTTCAATTGCATTTCTTATGATGAAATTCGAGCAATTTAACTAAATGTGAATCTTTAAAATTTAAAACATCCGATAAGAACTTTTAAAAGGAATTTTAAGAGTGCTTGGTAAATTAATAATAGTTTTTACTTTAAACTGCTGAATCATATAAGCATTATAAGATTGGCTAGTGTAAATTTTAGTAATTACATGATATATTAAACTTGTTGCAAATACTCACACTTTTCTAACGACAATAACCGTAGAGAAACGAAGAAATCTTTTGGCGGGATGACCTCTTCCAGTCACGAATATCGATCGATTAGGTTATGTTCCATAGAACAATGAAACTAAGTTTATACGAACGTCATAAAAATTCCATGGCTTTTAAATAACGATGCCTATCTGCTCAATAAATTGTAAAAACAATATAAAATTCAACTAGTATTGTCGGGATACAAAAGTGACAGCCCTTACCTCGTTCACACAATTCATTCGAAGTCAAGCGACCAACTGAATAAGTTTAAAATATTCAGCATAAAAACGTTAATGTTCATTAAGAAACAATACCGCAACGCAGTCATGACAAATCGAGGATAGGTGTCGTGATAGTATTTTTAATACCGATAAGTCCACAGATGATTGCGCTCCTTCAAGTTCCCGCCTTTTGTCGATTTTGTTTTTCTGCTACGATGAATTAAGAGCTCAATTGATGTATATGCGCGCGCGAACTTCGCCCGCCTTTTTTCTCGACGCCGGCGCCGAGTTATCATCCAATAAATATGGATAATTGGAGAATACTGACAGAACCTCCACTATTAATGCACATACGATATATTACGTTTGCACCTTACTTTGTTTTTTTCATGTCGTGCGAAGAAGAAAATGTTTTAAAAATTGCTATCTAGCAATTATATTGATAATGGTACGAGATGCCATTTATTTTAAGATTAAACCTTAAATTAAATGTCAAGCTAATCGAATAGAATTTTACTAGTAAATAAAAAAATAATAACATATCATTGTAAAATACATTTACAAAATTATAAATGTAATAAAATATGTATGTATTTATCTATAAATAACTTGTATGGTTATAATTGCATCATTTTTTTTTTTTTTTTTGCGTACATCGAAAATGAGGATTATAACATTGAATAATAAATCACAAAATTCATTTTAAAGACTTTTTAATTGCAGTTTTTAAAAGAATTATAATTTAATAAATTTTCGGGAGAATTCATATTAGTGTTCATATATTTATATCGATAATCATTTTACTTTATAATTATATAAATTTGTTAACATATTAACCGTATTTATCAATGGATATTTCAAATTTTATCATGTGGAAATATTGATATTTTTACATCAATTTTTAGCAAATTTTAAAATCAGTCTATTGCGTAGAATATTACATTTCTTATAATTTGATAAGATTTCTGAAAATATATGTCTACATTTTCAAAACCACATTAATATTGTACAGCATAAGTTTAATAAAATAGATACACTTCATGATGTGTACATTTTAGCAAATTTTGAATACAAATTGTGGAATTCAAACATTACAAGCTATAGCTAACCAAATGTGAGATGTAATAAAGCTCAAAAAAAATTACATGCACAAATCAATTATATTATTATTAAACTGATAATGACATATGCAATGAAATTAATATTTGAATAGATTAAAAAAAAAAAAAAAAAAAAAAAAATCTTTTTATTTCTTATCTTATAATATTCTAAAAATTAATAATACTCGTAGTGTGATAGTAATTTTCTATTAATTTTAATCTTTTAAAATATTTGAAATATAATAAAAAACAAATAAAAATAACAAAATTTATTTAGTTCTCTTTTAATGTCATGAAATTCTCTATTATTATTATTGCTGTTTTTATTCATTCAAGGCATCTGTCTTAAAATATAGCTGCACATTTTTCTATTACCTCGTGTAATTTACAATACTTTAACGAACTAATAATAATATTCTAATTATACATTTCGCTACATAATTTCATATTTCATCTGTAATAATTATCAAAGCTATTTAAAACATTTTAATTAGCTTTATAATTCTTTAAATTCGTCAAATTGTTTTTTTATCATAATTAACAACTCGTTGAAACGGTCTTAAGGGCAAAACGTTATTTCGCAAAGAATTCGATAAACTCTTTGGTTTCGGTGGGAGTGGCGGAGGTTTGGATAGTTTTGTCGGTGAGATTTTTGGAAGATTCTGATTGCACATTTTTGTCGAATCTAGTTGATAATTTCCATTTTCGACAATAGTTTTGTCAGTATCAATTATGGTATCATCTAGGCTACTTGAACTGTCAAAACATCTTTCTAAAATAGGTCTCCCCTCTTCAGAATCATAAAACTTGCTATATTCGTTATTTCCCGAAGTGACACGTGATTTACGACGTTTCTTGTCATCCAAGGACTTCCCATTTTCTTTATTCTAAAATTTATGTTTTAGATATCGCAATTAAACATATGATTACTCAATATTATAATTATAATCATTTAAAAATCATAGATTTTATAAATGAATTACTTACTTTTAAAAACTCCGGAAGCTCAAAATTTATTTCTATTCCCCTCTGATCATCTAGCCTTAACCTTTGCGCACGTTTCAATCCTTCGTATAAATCTAAAACATGTAATAAACATAAAAAAATTATTTGAATACATACACACACGTGCGCGCGCGCGCGCGCGCGCGCGCACACACACACACACACACACACACACACACACACACACATATGGTATTTAATAATAAAAACAAACAGTACTTTTACCATCTCCATCAAATCTACTCGGTAATTGTAGTTTAACTCCATTTCTCAATTTAGCTATTAGTGGTGGATGTGGTCGATTACTTTCATCGATTCCACAATCTGAACTGCTTCTATCACTGATATTACTTTTAGATTTTAACTACAAAATATTAATTATATAAATTTTATTATTTACAGCATTTTGTTTTTAATTATATCAAGTCATTACGCATGTCTATACGTAATAGATGCGGATTTACCTTTCTTTTAAAGTGAAGTGTAGAATCTTTTGAAAAGAGTTTGCTTGAAAGATTGGAAGAACCTTCTGATTTTTGATCATCGGACTACAATTGCAACACAATGCAAAATATAATATTTACAAAAATTATTAATACATACTAATATAATAATTAATATATAATAATATATAATTATACCTTGGAAGAACCTTCATCTCCTTCGTATTTATTATTGCTTTTTCCAACACGAAGTTCTTCAAAGACTTTATTTGTAATTTCATCAAGAGTTGGCTGACCCCTTGGTACATTTGGTGTTTTAAATAAAGCCGCGTCATCGATTATTTCTAAACAAAAATAAAATAAAAAATTTTTAAATCTTAATTTACTAAAATAATTACTTAATTAAAAGAAATTAAATTAAATTATCGTCACCAATTGAAATGCAATAATTATGTAACATTTTCTAAAAGAAGAATAATTTAAATGTTTTAGTGTCGAACCATTTGATTACTGTACCTTTATTATTTGAAGTAACAGCAAGTCTCGAGGGAGAATTTATCGCAGGAATATCAATAGATACAGGATGTCCATCGGCCCAGATCGTAACGAGATCGAGCTTGAAACCATATTTATGTAAAAGTGGCTTTAAAACTTCTTTTAATGTTTTGCCTTTGTGAGCAACAACGCTTATCACACGACGTGAAGGTAAATCTACCTTAATTACTTTCGTCAGTACAACTTCTACCTCTTGGCTAGCTAATACTGAACTCGGATACTTGAGATTTATAATCTGAATACAGTTTAATATATCAGTTTTATAAATAAGAAAATTAATTATAACATTAATCGATTATACAGTCGGTGTAATATTTTAACTGTTACCAATTAAATTCTTAAACTAAAAATAAAGATTTTATAAATTTTGATATAGCATGCAATTTTTCTATAATATAGTCCACAAAACCAATAGATGAATTCGCTTAAGGGCGAAAGAAATTGGAATAGAATAAAGGTATATAATTTTACTAAACAAAAATTGTTATCGTTTAGACTTACTACGAATTCCTATTCGTAAGCGCTGAAATAGCTTTTTCTCGCTACAACGAATATGTTGCAAAAAGAAAAAAAAGAAGAAAATAAATAGAGTAAGAAAAAGAAAAAAGAAAAAAGAATTCCCTTATAATCAACGAGAACAATTAAAATTTATCGCTTGAATTCCAACATTATTATAACCAAATGTCTACAAAGTCCAAAAACAGAAAGTACTACAGTAACATGCACACCTCTGAATATTCTTCCCGGTTGTCTTTATCAATCATATTGCGATTTCATATAAATAACTTGAAGATAAAGAAATAGAATGGTTCAGAGAATGAGAAAGTAAAATTTGGTTAAAACAAGAACAAACCTCGTTTGTAGTAAGCATAAGAACGTCGTAATTCGAGTACCGCAAGGCGCGTTTGTCGAGTAGGCGCGTTACGACGTCTCGGACGCTATCCGAATGGCTGGTTGGTATTACAGTTGTCGAGCCGTCCGGCAGGATAACTCGACAAAGGCCAGCGCATTTAGAGACGTGAGTCTCTCGCTTCTCGCTCGACTGTCCTTCGCAGGACGAGGCCGACTACAAGTTAAAATTATCGATCTCGAGTTTCTTTAGTATCTTAAATTGTTTTAAGGGCAGACTGCAGTGTCTTTTGATCATTGTGTACCGCATTATATGTATTGAACCATACAACTTTTATGTAAAAGAGTAGCTGCATTCTAATTTCATGACTTATTATTTATTTGTGTGAGCATCCTTTATTATTTTATTATTTTTTATTTATTTTTTTTTTTTAATAGTATTTATGAATGAATTAAAAGTGTATTAAGTGATATTGTGTAATAATGTTTAATTTATATTTTGGTTTAGTTAATCAAATTTATTTATATAGATGATTGGTAGATTATAAATTTTAGAAGTGCAAAAGATTCTGAATAAGTTCAAATTTTCAAGAGCACTTGATTTTTTATTCCTATATATATCAATGAATCGATGAATCAATGAATCAATTGACAACAGACCAATTAACTGTAAAATAGAAGTAAAAATTTTTCAATGAGTCTACCCTTATTGCCATAATATGTAATTATTGAAATGTCTAGTTTATTACGAGATTAAAGTCGATAAACAAAAAAAAACAAAAAAAAAACAAAAAAAAAATACAAAAAAAAACCGTGGAATTCATTTAAGAACAATACAACAAAGTATGGATTACAAATTACAAGCAAAAACAAATAAAGGACAAGCATTACGTTGTGAAAATTTTAAATTTACAGTTCTAACATGTTATAGCTAATAGAAACACTTTTCACACAGAACTCTATATTAGTCAATAAAACTAAAATCTACTTGCGAATATGCATTTATGCTTACATGTTTTGTAAAAGATTGCCTTAATGCTAAATCCCACGATGCAAGCGATGAACGACTACTGGAAATGGAAACATTGTCATCGTCGTTATTTCCTTCATTGTCTCGTTGAATAGTCGAGAAACTTTTGTAAATCTTTTCTCCTCGATTTGGAGTCTTATTATATTCCGATTCACCGCGATCTTTGGATTTCGATCTACAAATATAAGAGAGAGAAAAAAATTATTTTTATTTTATTAAGTAATTAACGCGATTACAATTAAATTACAGACTATTTTAATTAAAAATAATACAATAATTCATTTGCCTATTTCATAATGCATTATCTTTTTAATTGATTAGAATAATGATAAAACCGCTGCTGGATTTTATTTATTTGTATATCAGTATTTTAATTTAATAATGTTACGTTAGTTTAACTATAAATTACGCCGACATAATGCAATGTTATTTAATTAAATATTTACAGTTATTGAATAAGTAATTTTTTAAAAGTAAAATATTTAAATTATCGGCCAACTTGCCTATTTTTTCTATGCCAAGGGAGAATGGATTTTCTGCAACGATCTTCGGCATCGGAATGGCTCTTTTTAAGCTTTATACTTGGTGAATTTGTTAAAAAAAGATCTCCATCTTCGGGCGATATGTCTTCGTTGTCATAGCCAGTTTCCAAACATTTTCGATAAATGTCCGATCGCAAAAAGCGAGGATAACTATCAAATTTCATTAAATTGAAGACTTGTTTCTGAGCCTAATATACAGATAATTAAATAAGGGTTAATTAAACTTCTAATAAAATAAACTAAAATTACTCGAATACAAACGATTCGTTAATATTTATATGAACAAGTTTTTCCACTAATTTTTAAAAATTCATTGATATACCTGAACAAATAAATTGGCAGGAGCAGTATTTAACAATTCCGATGTAATTTGACCAGATGCATGACTGTCCACATTTACTGGCTCTGAAGCATTATTTGACAAATGCCGTTGATAAATTTGCGTTGCTAATCGTTTTCGATCGGCCAAGTCTTCCGTGTCAGAATAACGCTCACACGCAGCCCAGAAGTAAATGTTTTCGTGACTGATTTCCTTCCTGAGGTATTTCTAAATGAGCAAAATAATTGCAGTATTATTAGCATATTTAAGATGTTCCTTTACCAATAATTTAACTATCCAATCAGACAAAGGTATTTTGAAATAAAAACTTTCAAATTCGCAGAATTTCAAAATAATTATTATGAATAATAAAATTAAAAAAAAATTGCAATATTTTTAGAATACACGTTGATCGAGGAACAGCGAATCGGTGGTTTATTTTTACGCTGCCTGCGTAAATTCACTGCTCGGCACATTCTTTTTTCTTTAAATTTTTTTAATAGTAGACTAAGCATGAAACTTAAGGCTTGCAGACTCACCGCAAATGTTTGTAAACCTTTTGGATCTTCTAGAAGTTTTTCGAAGCTTTGGGCCCATGTATGGACTCCGCAACCCGCTGTTTTATCGCACGATTCGGTACTTCCAAGCTGAAAATCGTTATTTTTACTGGTTATTTTTATAATTATATATTTTTTTATTTATTGTCGATATCTGTAACTTATTTATTGGAAGATTGGTGGATAGATAAGAATACAGGGATGCGAGCTGAATCCTAGATATAAAATTTATTATAATTTTGTTTACTTTCATAAAGGCAATAACGAAATGAACATTAAACTGCACGCGAAGCGTATGCTTGCACAATGAATACAAAATAGCAAGTGCGTCCCACACGTAGGCTTAAAAATATTCTAGTCGGTGACGTTACTCCTAAGATAATTCTGTACTTGAAGGTATCTCCTACAGGACCAGAATAATTTGTTTTGTTATTTATCTTGGAAGTCGATGTGAATTAATGTTGGTACTGCGTTCGAGTTCTCTCTCTCTCTCTCTCTCTCTCTCTCTCTCTCTCTCACTCATTCTACATATACACACAATCAAACAAACAAAAACAAAAAACAAAAAACAAAAAAAAAACACAAAAACAAACAAACAATAAGAAAGAAATTAAGATTTTAATCAGCAGACACAAAGCTATCTATTTATTTTCAAACATTGTGAATACTTTGTACGATATGTTCAATGAAGGCATTAGGATAACAAAGTATAAATAATGCCTCAAATCGCAGTGAAAGTGAAACAAAGCATTTTCAAAACGTGCAGCAACGAGAAAAGTAACTGGGGCTATACGGCACTGACTAACGGGGCTCACGTACACTTAGCCGTGGATATTCATTCTCATCACGTTCTTAGAACGCCGGATGACGGCGGCGTAATTGCTGTATCGAAATATATTTTTTCCCAGGCACAAAAAATTCTTTGTATTCAATTTTTTCAACTTTGAAAATATGCAGGTTTTTTTTAAACATTTTTTTAAAGGGCCGCATACGTACGTATATAATGTACTAATTTTTTCAGTTTATAAGATTATTATAAGTTTATAAGAATAATGATATTAACGTGCATGTATATAGATACATATATATTAAATATATGTTTAATTCAACGTTTTCATGATCAGCGACATAGTTATTAAGATTAAAATCAGAGGGCTTTATTGTATATCGATGAGAATGAGTATTTGATAAAAAAAAAGAAGAAGAAAAAAACGCACAACGAAAGATTACCGACGACGCATCAGTCTGCTATGCACAAAAAGGCGCCATGATATATTGCTTAACTTATTCGATAATCTTATCTGCACATCGTGGCTTTTATCAATTTGATAAGTTAATTAATAAACACGCCCACGAGACTAGGCGGTAACTGATTAAGAGGATATAATAGCAAGTACATGTCACAGTGATATTTTTGACAATTAATGAAAATTACGATTCTCGTCCAAGGTCATTTCAATAATGCTGTTATACGTAAATGATTGTTGCAGCAGTCCCAGTAAGAGATGATCAAACGCGCAAATGTATAATAATAATGCAGGGCGTTCGAGCAAAGTCAAAGCATCTTTATCGAATACAATAAATGACACAGACGGCGATTATCGTAAAAGAGTCGGCTGTGTGACGTAATTGTAAAACCGGTTGATTACTCTCAATTAACCACGGCACAAATAGTAAACAGGTCGACCGAGTGCAACTTCTACCCAATCGTCGGCTTGCAAAAAAATCACACGCATCGATAGCGGAGCCGTGAGAGATGGCTCCTAAAGACAAAAGCACCGCGTGCATCTCGTTCTCACGTTATTACAGCGCAACGAGACCAGACGAAGAAAGACTGGGTTGAAGGCGGAGAGGGGAAGAGAAAAGAAAGAGAGAGAGAGAGAGAGAGAGAGAGAGAGAGAGAGAGAGAGAGAGAGAGTCGACAGGAAATTCCGAGCGCGCGATTTGCTTACTGTGCTGCGACTCATGTTTCGCCGGCGCGACTCGCGCCTTTTTCCTCCTCTTTCTTCGTGGTACGCCCATTTAATCGTCTTCCTCCTGAGCGCAACCCGAGCTCGCTAGACGGCTCTTGGGATCGGTCTAGGGAGTCGCGCCCCTCGCGACCCTGGACACCGGCTGAATAGCGCCCGCGGACCGAGCCTCGGGCCCCTTTAAACGGTCTCGTACGGCTGCCGCATCGCGTGGCCCCGCGTACGTGCAGCCGCGAAATTCGAATTCAGGGCCGCGCGCGACTGTCGGTCGAGGCGCCGAAGAAGAAAAAAAGTCGGACATAAGCCGTCGCGCGGAGCCGCGCTAACACTGAAAGGTTAACCTTTTTCATGGCGATCTCCCCCCGATGAAGTCGCCCAGCCGCGAGTCCCCACCTCCCAGCCCAGACTTCTTCCTCCCGATCCCGCTCTCGTTACTTCCCCCGTCCTCCTCCTTCTCGTTCTCCTCCTCCTCTTCCACCATCTCCACCGCCGTCACTGCCATCACCGCTACGAACGTCGCCGTCGCCGCCGCTGCCGCTGCCGCTGCCGCCACCGCCGCCGCCGCCGCCGCCGCCGCCGCCTGTCCCCGTGACCGCCCCACCCGGACGCCGACTACGAGCGAGTGCCCACCGTCGCGTTACGCTATTCAACAGGGCGAGGGTCACATCCGCTACTCAGGGCTGTATCGACACAGCTTTTCTGATATTTCTTTATGTACTTCCTGTGGACTCTGGGCTGCTTTTCATGCCTTTTAAACGCGAAGCCGTCGTTTAAATTTTATTTCTCCGAGTTATTTATTCCTTGATTCTCAGTCAATTAATCCGACATTTTATTTTATTGGGAACGCTGTCTGTCTACGTCAATGTGTTTTTAATACTATACCTCCGTTCTTAAGCAATTGTTTATCAAGAGAAAAAAATTTTCCTTTTTAATTTCCATAAAAGTTTATATCGATCGATAAGCTTTAAGTATGGCCTTTTAAGTCAGATTTAACGATTAGTCCATATGATGTTATTCTATAAAGAATGTAAAGGGAGTGTACTTGTTTAGGTAAAAAAACAAAACTAAAAAAACAAAAAAAAAACAAAAAAAAAAAGAAATTTTGGTAATCAAATAATGCAGTCGTTAAATTCAGTAAAATAATAGACGTAGCAATTATAAAAATTTACTGTTTCAAACTGCTGATGTTTCCTTAATTGTTTTTTGCACCTAAATTTCGTATAATAAGCATAAATATGACCTAATTGTACCTATTTGCATATTGATTGCGTCAGTAAATTGGGTACAGTTTTTCGTTTCACAAGTTTATACAGAGGATAAAAAATGAAAGTTATTAGATTTGAGAAATTATTTACTTCTAATCTTGTTCAACATATATTTTTGAGATTATAATTATTAAGTAGTGAAAGTATAGGCTTTAACCTAGGAAAGTTGCAAATTTTATAACGATCTAATTTATGCTGATTTTTCTTTCATTGAATAAATTTTGATAGCGATGAATTCATTCGTTTGCTCTACACCAAACGACATATACAAAATTTAACTTAGTTTTCCTTATTCTTCCATAGCTGGAGCGATGAAATGCATCGTTTAAAAGTACCGGCAAAACCCCTTTTTTATCAAGTGATTATTATGTCTTTCCAATAGGATTTGACATAATTTTATAGGTAGATGGTGCCATCATACCCATTAGCACGGCATTACTCGGTATCGCTCAAAAATACAACATCCTGTTGCAAATTTACCGAATGCATTGGAGAATAATGTCTCCAAATATCGAAAGCCCAATATTAAAATAAATGCAAAGACTAGGGAGGACGAAGTGGCGAAGAGAAAATATCGAGCGAGCATAATGATACAGACCAAAGGATGTCCACTTAAGACGTCCGTGCGCAGTAAATTAAGCGTACAAGCGAACTCGATATCGTCCGCGAAACACGAGCATCTGCATCTCCACGGCGTCATCGAGGGCTCAGATTCGAATGATTTGTTCCCTTACGAGACGAGCGCGTAATCGGATACATCCGATTTTTAGCAGGGAACGTCTGGATGGAGAGACGAGCACTTTAGCGCCGCGCATTAATGAATCGTCTCCTCGTTCTCCCGACATCCCGTACGTGTGTGCAAATCAAATTCTGCGTACGGGCAGGAAGCGATGACGCGGCTGCAGAGAAAAGAGAAAAGCAAGCAGTACCGTAGCCCCTCCGTTCCGCGGCCCTTTCTTCCAGCGAGTGCATTTCTTGTTAGGGATGCGTCCAACCGTGGAGTTTAACGCTGTTCTTGGCTTCCCTCCTATACTCCCGCAACTCCCAACTGATATTTTCGTTCATTACAACTACGAGACCTGCGCGTCACTTCAAATTGAAAATATCTCCTCGATTATACATCTTTGCCGGAGATGCTTATGAGCGCCCCTCGACGATTAATACAACCCGGTTGCCTCCCTAGTTACTTAAAATCCATGACTTTTTAAATGTCGCTTTATTGCCGTCCCTTCTTCAGTACATTGAAAAGTGCATACGTTGGATATGATATTTGCATCGACTAGCGCGGCCTCGCCAATAAGAATATTGGGTAACGATTTTTCTTCTTGGTCTTTATTATTTTCATTTTGTTTGTTGTTTGTTTGTTTGTTTTTTGGCCCCTTTCACGCAAACTGAACTAATTATTGACGTTGTCCTCGACCTTCGATACTCGACTTCTGATTTAAACGTTAATTGAACCCTAAAAGCAATGCTCGTTTTATTTTACACAAAAATAGTTTTGTTAATAAAAGAAAACATACGTTACATTTGCTCCTACGCTCAATGTCCCGTACTATTTAATTTAAAAAATTTTAAATATATACAAAAATAATTACAAAAATAATATTCCAATGTATGCAAGTACTTTTAATTATTTCTTATTTAATGAAGTTGAAAGCAAATAAGCTTATAGCCTTTGAGCTTGTATTAAGAATCATTAATTATTTTAAAATGCTTGGATAATAGATTGAAAATATTTATTGATAGAGAGTTAATTGTCTTGTAAAATTGTCTTTTTGAGACTAATAGACTCAACTTATTTTAAAAATAGCTTAAGATAAAATTTGTTTATTAAAATTATCCAAGGTGTTGGAGTGATTATTACGAATAGCTATGAAATTTATTGATCTCCATCTTTATTCTCAGGGTTCTGAAGAAATATATAAATAAAGGATCTTTAATTTTATTGACATACTTCTATCGTAAAAGTCACACTTCATATCATTTTCAAATTTAAGGTCATTTAGCAAGATTTTTTTTTTTTTTTAAATATTTTCGTCAATTCTTTTACTTTATGGTAACTAATATGCATTTTCAAATTAGGATTTAATTTTTAGTAACTAAATTTAGTCTCTACTTGAATTACCACATAAATAATAATATTTTGCATTGGTATCTTAAACAATTATAATTTTAAATATAATGAAGGAATTGTAAAAATGAATGGATGTAAGTAATTGTACGGAATCGAAACTTTTCAGGTTTTCAGGTATGGTATGATTGTAATTTTAGGGTATTTACCCACATAATCGGTGTAAAAATCGTAATTTCAAGCATTTTATAGACATCAATATGAATTATGATTTCGTAATCCATCAATTATATCCAGAAGAATCGACGTTATAAAGGTTGCGTCTGCCACAAATTGATTTACAGGGATTTACGTCGGGCTATTTTTTTTTTTTACATAACTTTCAATGGCCTTTCTCACTTATAAAAATTGAAAAACTATAATCGTTTAAAATGCATTACGAATATACTTTTGATGCATGTTTTTGAAGTATTGGAAGGAAAGAGATTGGTCTTGCGTTTGAATTCAAGAGGCTGTATCCATTTGTATATTTTCCTGAGAACTTTCTCTGCTATAGTGACTAAAGAACAGTTAAATTTGTTTCTGCGAGAACAATGAAGAACAGCGACTAACGTAACCTTGAAGTAAGCGGTTTCTCATTACTGTACGATCACGCAATTATCGAGCAACATCGTTCCAAGGTTCGTACCACATAAGGTGAATCGTACGTGAAAATTACAAATTTGCAAAGGTACGAGAAAGAAGCTTTTCAGTTTTTCAATATGCATTTTCCGTTTGTTTACACCATAAATCTTTCGTCATAGAAGAGTGTGTATGTGAAAGGTATGCTTAGGGAAAAAATGTGAATCATTAACTCAAATTATAATTAAACGATTGCATTTTAATATGTAAATTCGACACCATATATATTTCTTTATTGCATGCTATTATTGAAAAGAACGTCTCTTGGAAATAAATCATACGACTTGTAATCTTTTACCGATATCTCTATCCTTGTGTATATATATATATATATATATATATATATATATATATATATGTATATACATATATAGTATGCAATACAATACCTATTTGTTTGCGTTTTATTCAATCATATGAAAATAAAAAAAAAAATACTATAAAACATTTCGACATTACAGAGATGTTACTATAATATACTTTTGTTTATACTTAAATTATTATAGAGTTAATAATTACAACCAAATATCACTCAAGAAAGAAAGAACAATTTAACTAATCTCGAAACATTATGAAATAATATACTGGATTAAAGAACAAAAATGTAACGTGGTAAATGCATGTGCATTGGTAAGCCGAGTGAATAAGATAAGTAAGTCTTGATGGTTTTGGGTCTCGTTCGAGCAAAAAAAAAAAAAAAGAAAAGAAAAGAAAATTGTATAGTGTAGATTGGGTAGTTCGATTGAAAAGATAAAATGTCAATAAATAATTGTCGTAACAATAATCGTAACAGTCGTAGTGTTCGTATGAAAATTAAAATTATCATTAAAGTGTAGATTGAGAAGGACGGACGTCACCCTACGTCGAGCCGACAAAATCGTAGTCGACCCAGGTTAAATCGCATACAGTGCCAACGGAATAAAAAGAGAGGGAGCTAGTGGTCGATGAGAGTCGGGAGCACTTACTATGCAGTTGTCGAGCTCGCAGCCGGCGACCTTTCGAATCTCCTGTAGACTGCCCCAAGCCCTCGGCAGTTTATCGTTCGCCTTCCCCGTATGATTGTGCGGCAGGGACTTGGTCGTGTTGCCGTGATCGCTCTGGCTAGTCGAGCCCGGACTCGTCTTCAGGTTCTCGATGCTGCAGCCTTTTTCCGCTCTCATACTGCTCGTGTATACCTGAAATACGCGTTTGTTCTTCTTTGATAAAACCGACCGAGATTCAGCGAATTGTTGCTCTGAACGCTCAGCCAACTTGAGGAGGAGCCGACGCTCGCAGAGTCGTCAATGTTTCTTTATTACCGAAGTAGTATCACGATGTCCAGAAGAGCTCTGTGCAACAATGTCTCGGGGCAACGGTACAATATCAAGACATTTACAGCGCAAACAGCCGTCATTAATATTGAGAGATGTTTGGCTGTGCAGCATCCGAATGGCGCGATTTTATCCCCCATGGCGCGGACTCGATATTCCGCGATACAAGAATGCAAAACATCGTATCAAAGACAAGTGAAGTCACGGAGTGTCGCCCTCGACTTAGCAAATCAGATTCGGCGATCAGCGCAGATGACGCGACTGTAGGCGGCGGCTCCGGCTTTAGCTCGCCGTTATAACACGGCTTAAAAGTTCGAAAAAAACGACCGCCCGATCACGTTCTACGGCGTCGAGTCTCGATTCTTCTGCTCGATCGCCGGGTCCGCCGCTGCGCAAAGTAGCGTACACGCGAGGACAACTGGCGTGCCCGTGAGTTGGGCGCGGGGTCGGCTTTATGGTTCGCGAGCCGACCGCCAGGCGCGAACGTACCTTGGGGCTGAGTCGCTCCGGTACCAGCTCGGGCTCGAGCCGTACACCGAAGAAGTTGCCGGCAGACTTGGAGATGGCCTTCGTGGCGGCCGGAGGCCTCCCCGTCAGTGTCCCCACGGAGAGGCTGGAGGTGTAGCGGGGCGAGGAGCGAGCGCAGGTGCTCGAAGCCTTCGAGCGCTGGCATTGGCGCTGGGCGAACCTGCCAGATGGCACCGCGGGACAGCTGACGATGCTCCCCTCCCCGCCGCTACCGCCGCGGGTCCCGCGATCGCGCAGCTGCTGCCAGTCACCAAGGATGTTTTCCTCGGGGTAGTCCGATAGCTCTCGATGCTCGCACGCTCTGAAGCCGCTGATGCTGCTTGTAAACCCCAAGGTCCTCGTCAGTGCTCGTGACTGCGTTAGAGTACGCTTAGGACGAAGGATGGAGTCGAGCCGAGCCTCGTATGTCTTTATCCCGGCGACTAGACTCCTCAACGACCCGATTCTTTTTAGCCCGTATTACGGCAGTTGGACCGGGAGCGGGAGGCGCATTGTTCGCGGGGATTTGCAATTTGATAGAACGGCTTTGCAATGTTCCCCCGCTCCCTACCCAACTGTAATGTTATTATTACATGTTAAACCATTACTACGGTGGGCCTACGAATAGCGATTACGGCAATTTAATCCGGCGATCTACGCTCGAGCCCACACTCCTAAATGCCAAATTCAGTCTATCACTTAAAATCTATTGAGATTTTCGGGATCAGTGAAGAAAGAGGGGGGCGGGGGGGAGTGGTATGAATTAATTAGATTACTATGATTATTAGGATAATATTGCCCAAACCGTTCATTATTGCGGTTCAAGATTTTATCGTTGGTACGATTCTGCCTCATCCTTATTGATTTTTAAATGTGCATTTTCTTTTTTTAAAGGTACTGTAAGTTTCGAAAGGAAAATAACATATAAATTCTAGTTGACTGTTTTTTGTTTTTAAAGAGATTGTAAGTTCTTTCATTTAAAATTTTTTCAACAATATTTCTCGCAAGGTTTCATTATGTTATTCTTTATATTTTTATCTAAAATTACACTTAAAAGAAAACATATCTACTGCTAGTTTAAAGCGAAACTTACCTTGAAAAGTCATTCCATCTTGGATCTGAGAGTGCTCGAACTGTTAATTTTGATTCTCCCTGATCTTTGCCATTTCTACCAAGAGAAGAAACAACAATGCTCTAAAAAAGAAATCATTGTTATTTATATTAATCATGTATTATTTATACATAAGCATTATTAATTCACTAGGAGCATAAATTAAAATTATAGTATGCTTTTATAAAATAAATTGTAAATGAAAAGAAAAAAAAAATTATTTCCATCAGAATGCATCCTTAGGCTAAGATGCCGATTATTTAGAAATATTTTAAATAAGACCTCGACCCGTCTTAAATATTTTATACAACATTGATATAGGATTATAATTAACTTATAAATTATTTTTTTCTCTAAATTTTCATTAAGTACAGTTGCAATTGTATCTGTAAGATATTCAAGGCTGAAATTCTATTAAAACCTAATTTGCAAATTTATTATCAAATATCGTTATGTATTACAAGATCAACCGTTTAACAATTATTTGCTACACCTGTACAAGTATAATAAATTATTATTAGGTATAAATATGATGAATTATTATTATTATTATTATCATCATTATTATTATTATTATTATTATTATTAAGCAGATTTTTTATAATAAATTGTTTTAAATAATCGGTTATATTCCCAGGTACCTTTAATGAAATATTGGAAGAAAACAAATTGACAGGTTTGTATTCGCAATAAAATTAAATATATAAATATAATGCAAATATATAATGTAAATTTAAACCTTTTTTTAATCATAAAATCATTATGTGTACGATATCTTAATTATATTCCATGCTATTAATTTACTTAATAGATCTAATTTACTTAAATTTTTAATCGGTGCGGTCACAGCTTTAACATTCAATTGGTAACGAATCAGTAATCGTATATAAATATCTTTTTCAATACGATACTACAAACACCGCATAAATAAATCTATTGATCTTCATATTTTCTTTAAATCATTCACAATTAAAAAGAAAGAGACGAACACCCGGTTTATGTTGTTATAGGACAAACATTTAAATGCAAATTCTCACCCCGTCGTAATATCTTGGTAGGTATTCCACATTGAGATTTCGATCCGAATGGCAACCGCATTCATCCTTAAAACCGATTCCGGAATCGCTGTTACTCGAGTGAGCGGTCGAGGTGCTTATGCTGCTTGGTTGTGGCGAAGGTTGAGTATCCCGATGGCTGCGCCTCTTATGGAACAAGTTCGCCTCGCCCTCAGTCGAGTCCGCGATGTACAGCGTCTGTATGGCACCTACTAGACCGTCGCAGCTCACTGGAAACTCTTGGCAGGGGTTGTTGAGCTCGTTGGCCTTTGTGCAAACAAAGCCAAATGCCGCACAAGTGCTCGCGTGTATCACGTGATCGGATAACTTGGAGTAGATTTTGAATACGTGGCAGGAATTCGAGCAGCCGCCGTTCTCCTGATTTTCGCTCGTTTCGTCGGCGCAATCGGAAATTGATTTAGTTAGAATGCCAAAATGAAGCTTATCTTCGTTTGAAAAGAAGTTGCAATAAACTATCCGGTACGAGGGATACTCAGCGATCACGCGGCCTTCCGTATTGGCCAACTTTATGTTCGCCACGTGGATCGTTAATAAAACCTGTAACAAAATATTGAATTTCACACCCTTATTATATTTAACTTTACGGCGTGATAGAACATATTATTATTATTATTATTATCATTATTCGTTTAAAGTTACATCAGGGCTATCGTTTTGATAATGCATCTCTCAATTTTAAATGTCGAGTTGAAGCTACTTCCGGTCATTTCAAAATGCTCCTACTGCCTATAGAAAAATGAATAAAAGTTATTGAAAATGGTAGTTTTTATTTAAAAACTGAAAATAAATTTTTAACAATAAATAACCTATGAGTTTTTAATAATGAATTTATCCTTTGCTGTCCTACTGATACTGATAAGGGATTCGATCATTTTAAGAGATATTCGAGTAAAAATTACATAGACTATTTTATTATAGATATTTTATTTTTAAACTTTTAATATTTATATATTTTTACCTCAAGGACCATTTAATTTCATTTTATTTCAAAATATTTGATAATTGTTATTACAATATTGTACAACATTGTCATTGGTAATGAATTTCATTGTTCAATTAGTTTTAACGTTTATCATACTCTTATATTCTATATTTGAGCATAAATTACATCGTCATTTAATGCGAATCATTAATTTACATTTTATGCTAAGATTTTAAAATAAAGGAAAAATAATGTAAGTTTAACATAGTAAGGCATGCATAAATATATATATATATATATATCTATATATATAATAATTTGCGACAACGATAACATATTTTTATAATAAACAAAAAAAATAAAAGCGGATAAGTTTATATTTAAATTTCACACAGATACAGCGATGGTGAGTTTTAATAGTGTCCGGTTAGACTACTACATAAGGTAAATATAAAAGGACATTCTAACTAAATTTGGCCGCAGACTAAATAAATAAGAAAAATTTGCCAACCGTAGTGGGATTCCGTCTTTCAGCCTTGATTCTCTTAATGCACTTCTTAACTAGGGACGCCATCGACAGGGACCGCAAGTGATTGGGAATGTCGATGGTACCGAGGTAACCGAGCACTGCTCTGTGAACGATTTTCTCAGAGTCGCGCTTTCTCGAGGATGGCGGGGGCGGAGGTGGCAATGGACTCGACATGTTCCACCTGTGGGAGTTGGATAGAATCGATAACCTGGCGGCGCTGGCGTCAAACATTGCACCGCTCTGCAAATCCCTCACAACTTTGGCTACTCGGCACTGCGGATAAAGAGATGTAGAGAGTCCGGAGCTACCCGATGCGTTGCTGGATCTCGATCTGCAACAAATGTGGCGGTATTGCAAGTTGATTTTTTGTTTCCCATTAGCTGATTATATGCTCTTGGACGAGCAAATTATGATGCATACAATAAATCGAGGGAAAAAATAATTGGAAATTCCAGCGCAAAGTGGAAAAAATCGAGAATCACTCATTATCTCCTAAAACTAATAAATGTTTATCTTCAATTTTATTATTTTTTGTTTTTCAATTTCTAATTACAAATTATAATATCAATTAAACAATATAAATTAGGAAAAAAGTTCCAAATTTTGATCATCCTTTTTACGCTTCATACTATTTTTTATTACGTGAATGTAAAAATTAAAATTAAAAAAACTAAAAATTTTGTTAACATCTGTTATTGTTAAATGATAGATAATAAAATAAAAAACAAGCAGAGTGATTCGATATTTCGTTATTTTGAGCTATATAACAGTGTATTTGTAGTATTGTTTCATAAATACCTGATTATATGCAAGTATTTACAAATATCTTCTATCGTATCAAATTAAGTTAAAAGTTATAAGTACATTTTTCACTTTAAATATGAGAATGAATCGTCTAAAATCAGCCTTTAATAAAGTATTATTGTATCAAGTTCAATGCGAAATGAGAAATTTTTATTATATTAGAATATAAATATTTCACACATTTGCACACGTATTGGCATACTAAAACTACACACGCATTATTTATTTAATTTGTTGTTTGTTTTTTGTTATGATAGCTTCAATCATAGATTACAGCTTCCAATTTCAAATACCTATTAAATAAATGGAAGAAAATAATATCGTATAATTTACGTCAGAAAAACTTGTAAATGCATTTTAATATTTTGCTATCGAATCATTAGTATCTTGTTTCATGACTATTTCTCAGAAGTTTAATGTTAAAATTTATTTCGAAACAAAAAAATATATACACACACACGCGCACACCTTCACTTTACATAGAATTGTAAAGCGGAAGCAATATGCTATTCATACATATGCGCGACTATCATCTTCCTTCACCAGACATGATTATTAAAATTATTAACTAAAAAAGTTATACTTGTGAGAAAAAATTCTAATGCAATATTTCTTTGTAATTTAGAATTTTCTAAAATTTGGTAAAAGAGACATTTTAATTAAATATAACTATAATTCCTATACCTGCACCCTAATTATGTGTATGTGCGTATAGATATATGGATGGGCAATATGTGTGTATAGATGTACGAATACGCAATTGCATTCGACAATCGTCTGGCACGGACACATTCATGTTTCTATGTACTTGCACTTGCGTAGGCATACATGTATATCCTTATAAATCAGTATCCGTAGGTAGGCAAGTTTCCATGTAACGTACGTTTCGAAAGTTTTTTTATCTTTACATTTTCTTCCTATAGGTTTTTTTTTTTTTTTATAAACAGTTTCACTTCTAATTGAAAAATAAATGATTAATTATTCTTTCGGGAAGAAAGAAACAAACAATTATTGATAATCACAAACTTTTCAGAATAATGAGATACCTCGGATTAAGCAGAATTAATTTTAATACGCTTTTATAGATAAAGGACGGATCATTATTACTATATTTGCACGATAATGATATTTCAAATTCAATGACTTTCGGTTTGCTCGAGGCAATAATGGAGCGATTAATAATCACAGAACATATTCAAAAAGTATGCCAGTTAGTAGATATTTCGACGATCGAAATACAAAGCTCAGCGATTTCAAAGACATTAGCGCGTTCTCGCCAGCAGTTTCCGATTACTCGAAATCCCAAGGTGACTGACCTGTATCTTGGCCTCGAGCGTATCTTCACTTCGGTCTCGTCCTCGTCGCTCGAGTCGCTGTAGTAATTCTCTGCGATCCTCAGCCTTAATAGGCCATTCGAGCGCCCGATGAACCTGACGACGTCGTCGTGGGGTGCCTTGCCGACTCTGCGTCCGTTAACAGACACGAGATAGTCCCCGGAGCGCAGACCCGCGAGCTCCGCTGGACTCCCGGGTACGATGCAGCTGAGGATACAGGGCTGCTGCCCGGATATGGTGAAGCCGAAGCCCTTGCCGCCCCGGTTCAACTCCACCATCCGCGTTCCGTAGTTCACGCGCTTTTTCTTGCGCCTACTGTGATGCTGCTGCTGTTGCTGCTGCTGCATCCTGTCACACTGGTGCGAGTACCGGCTGTAACAGATCCAGTCGTTTGTTTCATTGGTCATTGGTTTTCTAGACTCGGTTAGTAGGTGCTGGGCAACCGATATTTAACCCTCCCTCGCCTCTTTTTCAACAGTTTGCATCCACCTACCTAACCTTAAACAAAACACTAGTAGGAAAAAAATTCGCTTAGACAATTATCGTTCGCTGTGAGTTTATGAACATGTTTTAGAACGTAAATTTTAGGAGCAACATTATACACTTCGATTTTCTCTACGTCTTCGATAGAAAGGAACGTCATTAAAAAAGTCTTTTAAAGACCAGCCACTTTTTCTCCTATTGAGATCTTTTATTATTTCTTAGCTATACGAGGATGTATATTCAGTCGAAACATGAGAATGAAATAACAATGGTCGTAAAGAAATTTTAAAAATACTGTTTCATTGTATGCCAACTTTCATGCCAACTTTAGGCTCCTATAAATTTTTGTAATAAGAAATGCCGACATAGACTTTTTACATTTATGAACTTGCAATGCATTAGCATTACAACACACATACTTTGAAACTTTGAAATATATATTCAATATTTTTTGACATTTTTTTATTATAAAAAAATAGTGTTAAAATATTAAAGTAGAAATAATTCGTTGTGTCGATTGTTGCATACAAGATGTTATTGTATAGATTACGCTACGTTTTCTTTTAAATTTTCCATTGCCTAATTTTTGGCACACCGATTTGATTTCATTAACCAACTTAAATTACAGAAGTGAATTTCAGTAGTTTTATATAGCTAATAAAAATTTTCTTTTCATTTTCTATTTTAGATCTTTTAGTATAACTAAAAAATCAGATAAAATCAGATAAAAGCACTATTATATATACAATTCTTTAAAGTAATATAAATTCAATAAATTCAAATAAACCGTCAATTATTTTATCTATCCACATTCAAGATTCAATTTTTATTATAACAAAATATAAATTAAGAAACAATTACTTATCATAATACGATTGATTATTAAACAACTTGAAATATGTCGAAAATTTTGTTAAAAATTTTGTTACATGCATGTCGATAAAATGTTTAATGTTACAGCGTAGCAATGTAAATGCGTTTGTAATCACTTTTACATAACAGCTAAAATATATTAAAATACATTTTATTTATATATGACATACTGTATATTAATTTAGAAAATAATAGTAATGTAAGTATAACTGACAGATTAAAATTTAAAATCAACCTCTACCAATTCTTTAGCCTAATAAAACAATAATTATTTTTACGTTAATTAAACGCAAGAGATTGTGGTAGCATACATTTCTATTATATGCATAGAACATATAGCAATAAATTATTATTGTTAATGACTATTTTGATAAAAGTCTACTCAATTAATTTAAATGAAATTTCACAATCTATTTTAATGTAGATGAAAATTGTTAATTTTCTTATTAAAAATCTTGTACGATTGAATGTAATATTATTTGCTTGAATGCCCTTCTTGCTAATTCTGAATATTTTAAAAAATGTATAACACCGCATTGATTATTATTATAAATAGTTATTATTGTGATCAATAGTTTTATGTTAGTAGTTTTATGATTTTTAATACTTGATATATAAAAGATAGAATTTTTTTCTCGAATAAATGTACTTAGCCGATTTATATATCGGGGCGTTTACTTTTCCGGATAGGGTCACTTTATTTACTTAACTCCTATTCAATGACAAAATTGCTCTCTGCATATTAAAATTAATTATTAACAATACAATAATGGATCTTTTATGTATAAATTTACCGTTCGCATCTTTTTAATTTAGCGTTGCCATTTAGTAATAACTTTTCATTATTCAGCGATTTAAGATATATTTACAGCTACATTATAAAACCTCATGTGCAGGCACAGCTTCATTTAAGTTAATTTTGTTTTATTTTCATATTTATTTAGTAAAGAAGGCAAATCAATAGATTAACAAATAATAATATTTTCCGTTATATACTTTATAATACCAAGTATCTCAAAATTTCGTTTCAATATTAAAAGTACGTATATTGCGAACTTGATATATATTTCCACAAATTACCGTATAAAGAAGATTCTTTATATAATTTCACCATTGGCAATTGAAATGTAATATATTGAAAACAATTAAATCTATTTTGGATCAATAAGTATGATTTTTTTTTTTATTCGATTTTTACTCGACTTAGCGATTGATTGTTTATGTGAATATTATATACTTATACTACTAATTTATTATATATTTTTATTATATTTCTACGCGTAATGCGAGCAAGAATGAAGAGGAAATAAAAATTTGATGAAATAGGCTAACCAAGATAAAGAGATGTTCGGTAATTTAAATAAATAGCATTTCTGGAAGAATGATTGTTATAACATGTGTGGTAGTACGGGGTCAAGTAACCAAACGAAGTTTTTATTCTATCATTTATCACAGATATTTGAAATGTATTTTTGCGAACATGTATTTTATGAAACACATACGTTAGTCGATCATTTTTATATTACAAAATGTTATTTTCTGATGAAAATCGTCACAAAAAACATTAATGAAATCAATACAAAGGTTTATAACTCCCACTCCAAATCATAAATCCGTTTCAAATCTACTATTATTATAAATATAAATATTAATCTACATCTTAAACTTAACCGGTATAGGTTAAATACACGTTTAATAAAATTCACAAAGTGTTGTGATCAATCAAATAATCTCATTGCAGTTATCCGCGGGCGCGCGCGCACACACACACGCGCACACGCACACGTGTATACGGACAATGTATTTTCAAATGATATAAATCGTTTACTTTATCATTAATATATTTTAACGTATTATTGCATGCTATTAAAACTTAAGCACGATTTTGAACAATTAAACCACGATTTTATCTAAACGTGTAATAATTACTGATATATTTCAATCATTTAAGTTACCGAACAATTTCCTTCTGAATTAAAATCCTTTTTTTTTTATTTTTTATTTTTTATTTACACAGATATATAAATTATATGAAATTCTGTTGCACTAAAAGAGATGAGTGTACACACTTGGTATTAATACACTATTGAAATAAAATAAGCTAATTGTGAAAGTGAATTACTGTATCCGCATTATTTACACTATTTATACTACTTATTAGTCTCGGTTATTGATTTATATATAAAATGAACGAGTCTAAACATTTATACTTTACGGAGATTTAATGTCATGCCGACAGATTTACAGACTTGGAAATTTTCTAAATGTAATTGATTGTCGAACAGGCGTTATGTATAATATGGTTAAAAATAAAAAAAAATAAAAATTACTCAACTAAACTTCTTAAAATTGTGGACAACTTTTACTTAACAGAAGTACAGTAGTATAAAAATTATAAAAATTGAATTCATGAAAGCTAACGATAATAAAATAATTATTAATATTTTTTAATCTACTTATATGTCAATAACAATAGAATTCTGAGTGACTGTTTTTTAATTTTATTTCACCAATTTTATTTCCTACTATAGGATGCTACTATTTTATAATTAATAAGGTACGCTCGAATAATTAATAGAAATAATATGTAGAATTAAAAATACGTAACAAGTGATTGCATGATATTTTAACGGATAAGTATTTTTATTGGTAAAATTATAAAATCAACCAAAGAGTCGCAACGCCTAGTTTGTCTTTGCATATGAAAGTAAATATAATATGAAAGTACTGCGCCATCGCACCAGCGTTAACATTAATTGCGTGGGCAAAAACTTATTAATGAAGAATTTGTGAAATAAAAAATAAAACATTACTTTCTCTTTTTACCTTAGGTACGGAGCATCACTTTACCAATATTCGAACACATTTTCACCAGCCGCCAAATGCACCATTTAAGCAATTTTCAACAATAAAACACAAATAAGAAGGTGCAAACATTTGGACCATCGAAAAGCCAAATATCAAACACCAAAGCAACAACAACGAATCCTCGGGAAAAAGGCGCACCACCGCATATTACATTTCTCCTTCGGAATCGAAATTCTCGATAGCTAAACGACATACAAAGGACCTACATGCTTCTACGTCCAATACCCACTCATCAGCATGGCAAAAGTCTCATCCTCGAATTGGCCTTTGTTGTCATCCTGGAGTCGATTTTTCGGTCACCTCTCTCTCTCTCTCTCTCTCTCTCTCTCTCTCTATCTATCTATCTCACTCTCTATCTCACTCTCAGGCTGCTCGAGACAAGTCACCGTTTCTTTGGTCCACACACTTAGAGCAGCAAAGCACTCATATATATAACTCCGTCGAGACAGTTGAACATTTGCTGCTTAGCGATTATCAGCACCCCGATATCGCCGTGGGAGCGTAACGTAAAATTCACGGGAAAAGCCCGAAGCCACCCTCGTATCCCCGACAAATGGTCGATTGCTCGCGAAGGGAAAAAGACGAGCGATCGGCCGTTCGTTTAAAAGCGCGCTGACGAACTCGAGAGGGGAACGAAGCAACAAGTTGACGTCTAGGGGCGCGATAACGAGCTATAGGGATACATTCGACTGGGTTCGCTGGCCCGAGCGCAAGCGCCGCGTCCCGTAGACCCGCAGTTATTCCCTCGATATATAGCATTGGCTTGACTAGTCGCCATCTTTGTGTCGATCTCGAATGTGAGGGGAATCGATTTTCGAGATACAACTAGCTGTGACGAGTGTTCAGCGTTGATCAGATGAGTATCGAGGAGTGGGAGTGAGACAATCATGTGGCGGGAAAAGTTGATGATTTCGAAATTTGCTAGTCGAGTCGAGGACACGTCAGTGTCCATTTTATGCTCGTGAAACAAGGGGACAGGGATTTGCCTAATGAGAAGTAACTTACATTTTACAGGAAGTTGTTTTTTTATTTTTGTTTTATTTTCGTTATGTTTTTTTTTACTTCCCATGTGTTTATTCAAAAGTGTACAGTTGTTTAGCAAGTGAGGAGCGCACCCTATTCGTGTGTTTGAAATGACATACTTTTGCATTATTTGATTTCAATATTATATTATTTGAATGCTATGTATTCACACGAATTAAATAAATCTTATTTTAATCCGGCATTAATATGTCAAATTAATATGTAATTTTTTTGCAATACTTTTACCTACGACTAATACATAATAAAGGTGCTAATATAGAAATATTTCTTGCTTCTGAATTTACATTGCACCACGAAATAAAAAGTTATATCTTATTTATATTATATTATAGGCTAAAAGCCATGTGCTTTTATTGACTTTTATAAAAGCTAATTAGATATATAAAAATATGTACTTTATAAATGTTATATATTTATATATTTACCGAATTATTTAGTCACTTACATAGAATAATTATAAAGATATATACAAATTTTGTCATTCTAATTACTTAATTAATAGTATGTTATTTTACTTTTTTTTTTTTTTTTAATTTTTATCTATTTTTATTACATTTTCTGCATTTGTCGATTCAATATTTTATTTTAGTACTATTTTATGATTTACCGATGCATAAGATATGCAAAAAAAAATTTTTTTTCTCGTATATTTTTGTCTTATAAAATTTTCCAATCATTATCGTAGATCGTTTGTCAATTGTTATTATTTTTATGAGATGAATACATGGATATGACAAATTAAATGATTGGAATTAAGATTAAAAATAATTGTTTAAAGTAGCTTAACACTTATTTTGATTATTTATAGACTGAAATATTATTATATTTAAAAGCACTAGATTGAAAGGTCTGAGGTATTATTATTAATTTTTAAAAATAAATTTTCATTTCTTATTATACATCGAAGAAAGTGTATTTCATATGAAAATGTAAAAAAGGCATATTTCTGTTGAACAATTGCTATTCGTTAAAAAATATATTTACGCTGTATGATTTCCATTATTCAAATAGTGTAGAAGCAACACTACTGTTTTAAACTTTTAATCTAAACATTTTGAAATATATGAAATGTATATTACTTTTGAGATGTAATAGAAAATTTTGACGAAATAACATTATAACATAAAAAGTTCATGAAAAGAATAGTATATATTAAAAAAGAATTTTTAAGCTTTGACTTTAAGAACTTAATCATTGACTATTTTAAATGTGCATACAAATATTAGGCATAATAAGTTTTTTTAGCTACTTATTAAAATACAGAACTTTGTAACTTATCCATTTAATCGATGTTATATGAATAAATTGCATGTTGTCACGGATTAAAAATTTGTTAATGATTAATTGCTGTATGAGACAAATTGAAAAATATTTATTATATTAATTACAACTGAGAATTAATTTTAATAGACAACACAAGCTGTTGATATAATACAAAAACTAATGAGGTTACGAAATATGCGAAGATAATTTATAAGAATAAAAAAGAAAACGAGTAAAATTTGTACAGCAAAAGATTTAATATGAAATTTTATTACATTGATAAAAGATGAAAAAGGTGATAAGTGACAGTAACGAAGATCATACATTCAGTTAGCTTTAATTATTATGTATTTATATTTGAAGACAACTATGGATTATGTATAAAATTATAAGACCTAATATACTTGAAAAAAAGTTTGTTACATTCAAATATATATTGAAATTTGACTCAAACGTAAAGTAAGATAAATAATATAAGTAAAAATAAAATGTGATTTAATTATACATTAGGTGTTGTAATTGTTGAAATAACGCTCTCTTTTAAATATTGATTTCAACTGATATTACACATTCATAAGAGGCAAAATATTTTATGTAATTACTGGTATGAATAATAAGTAAGTTATTTTATTTATTGTAATATAAAAGTACCGTAAAATTAACTCGAATAATATAACTTCTTTTGAACTTTAGAATGTTTGATTACTAGGTCTCAGTTTACTTGAAATAATTTCATGATTTGTATAAGTTAATTTGCATAAGTTATTTGATTCGACTGCCTTGATTCTCAGTTATTTGAAATAAAACAATTATACATGGGATAGATCATTAACTTGCAAGATAATTTGTTGATTTTTAATGAATACCTTCATGGTTTCATAGAACATAGAACATAGAATATAAACCATTCAGTTATTAATAATAAAATTAAATAATAATATTTAATAAAAGGCTTAATTTTTAATTAAGTTTAATTCAATTTAATTAAATTTTTTAACTAAAATCTTCTCTTAATCATTTGTTATTTAGGCTTTTTGTTATTCACAGGCTTCTTATTAATTTTTACTTTTAGATCATTTTAACCTCACAATTTTCATCATACATCATACTAATTATGGCACGGCAAAAATAATAAATTACACGTAGTTTTACAATACAAATATCAAATGGATTAAACAAATACGTATTAATAATATTTAATATATATATATATATATATATATATATATAATGTATTCACGTGCAACAATTTAATCTGTTTCACTGCTAAACGTAATTAAAAAAAAAAACGATGTATTCACTATACTGAATTAAATTCAATACAAGAATAATAACAGTTACAAATGCAAGAAAAATTGAATTTAAATTAGATGAATGCTAATATACGACTATTAAAATTGTTTGAAATAATATTATAACGTTTTTAAAATAAAACATATTATTTAACATAATAAAAAGCTCAACTTTATGGAGTTATATTATTTCTGATATTGTAATATAATTTATAGAATATTATTTTCATAAATCAGATGCTAAGATATCATGTAATATATGAAGTGAATATGAATAAGGGTTTTAAAATTAGCACTTTTTATTATCATGTTATTTTTGTAATTACATCTATTATGTTGTGAGCAAGTATTCGAAGCTTTAGCTACATAAAATTAGACGAGTTAAGTTTAATCAATCTATGCTCGAGGGTAGATACATATAGACGGTACGTTTTATGGACGAACCGAATAAAATACTAAAGATCAAGTTATATAGCACGTAAGAAACATAACATTTAAAAAAAATATATTTTATTAATAGTCAATTGAATGTAATAATAAAATCGTAAATACAATTGTCAATCTTGTTTAACTTATATATATATATATATATATATATATATATATATAATAAATTTAGTTATAACTAATTATATGTCCTGGAATATTTTCATCGTGCAATATCTATGTGTAATTTTATTAATAATACTAATTTTTTTTTGTTTTTTTTTTTTTTTTGATAAAATTGTCATTATCTTTTAATAGCAACACTTTTAATAAGATTACATTTAATATTTGATTATTTCGAAAATATTAAATTATAATTATTTTAAGCATATTATTATGACAAAATTCTAACATTTTCATTAATTTCAGTAAGTATTTTTTTGGTTAAAAGTTAATGATATAACGCATTGTATTATTATTATATTATATAGTCAACAAATAAAATTACGAAAAAAATGCATTATGCATGTACAAATAGAGCATAATGAAATCCTCCTCACAGTTTCGTTCTTAAAAGATAGAATAAATAGATGAATTTATGAAGCAAAGAAAATTCGTGCAGATTTGTAGCTACTTGTAGCGAGCTTTGAAATAGACTGTTGGTAATGCCTCCGAAAACTGTTGATCAGTATAATAGTTTAAATCCTAATTAACTCTAATGATTTGTAATGGTTGATAAGTCAATATATTTTACAATTTTTACTTTAATATGCAGTGGCATTGTATTTACTTGCCAATATAGCCTATCAATTAAATAAATTTTTTTTTAACAAGTATATAAGAGAATTTATTATTATCTCATTTATTTTATAATTATTTATATATGCAATGTAAATAGTCAATAATTTCTCTTGCGTGACCTGAGTTTGCTTAACTTTCTATTTTGAAAGTAGCCGTATTACACAAGATTATTTTAATACATATTTCATCCAAGTTATAATTGATTTAGCCAGTTTCATTTACAAGTGCTTTTAAAACAGGCGCGAGCGTGCGAATCATATTGAGCGGAGCTTTTGTTGCGCAGAAATCAAGTTTCCTTCCGCGATACACTTATTACTCATTGGCTGAGCAGAGTTCAGACTTGGTGTTTTGTAAATTTCTCAGTTAAACTTCTCAGCTGCTAGTCAAGGATAAATATTTGGATGTTGTTAGATAGGTTGCTTATGATCTTTGAATCATATTGATAAGCGAAAAAAACGTGATAAAACAAAGTGAATTTCATTTTGTTAAGAAATTTTTTAAATATTCGATGCCATGAAAGTTATAAAATATAAAAGGGGCTTTAGTGAAAGTTAACGATGAACCGAAGAATATTATATCTAGTGAAAGTTAACGATGAACCGAAGAATATTATATCGAAGGCATAGATCGCTAAAGGTATACACAAATTAGATGCGCGCGCGCTTATGTGTGAATATATTTATGAATATTATCATTGAGGTTATATAGTTTGAGAAAAATGTGTTTTTATCTCTTTCTTATCATAAATTAAATAACAACAGTTTTGAAATTTAAATATTTGTTAGTTCATCTATTATTGAAGGGTACATTTCATCTAGAAATCCTTTATACTGCATTGGCTTAGTTTAAAATTTTATCAAAAGATAAATTTGTGTCAATTAATATATTAAGAATTAATTTTTCTATTCATTTTTTATTGGCTTGTATTCAAATTGGTAAAACTAGTTTTAAAACATGGTGATAATTTTGATTCAAATATTGTGAAACCATTGATGTTGATGTACAGTTATGTCCTACTTATTTATTTTATGAAACATCATTTTTAAACATTCTTTTGGATATAAAACACATAATAAGTTAATCGTTGGTTTTATTTTTAATGTTTAATTTTTATTCTTAAATTCGAAAATTGACAATATTTCAAATTAAACGTTTTCTAAAATAAATGGAAATTACTTTAGACAAAGGTAAATTATTATGACTAATCTAGATGACATTCTATTTACATCTTAGTACTTTTATTCCTTTATTACAATAGTCATGTTAAAACATTTTGATTTTACTATAACATACGTGTCATTTAGCCAATTAAATTTTTATTATAATTTTATTATTAATATAATATACGTTTTATTTGGTTAACATATTAAGGAAAAAATATTTTAATAAATGCCTTGATATAGGTTTTTAAATAAAAGAAGAACATAAATTGACTTCTAAAGACAAAATGAGATCAAAAAATATAATAGAGTGGAGTGTCCATGATGTTATAAATTGGCTTGAGCAGAGTGGTCACCATAAATTTTTAGAAATATTTGAGTTTTTTAAGGTCAATGATATTGACGGGAAAGCATTGTTAACACTCACAGAAGATGATTTAAAAACAATGAATCCATGTAGAATTGGTGCGATTAAAAGACTGCATATTAGTATCAAACAGTTGCAAAGGGATAATGTAGCGTTGTTAATAGAACTGGGTCATATAGAGTCATTTGCTACACAACATTTGTTTGGTCCTAAGAGTAACGATGTAAGTATTTTTCAATATATCAATTAAGAATATTTTTATTTTATTGCTATTTTTATTATATTGTAATAATTATTATTTATATTCTTTATAAACAGATAATAAGTCAATATTATGTACTCAAGTTTTTTGGATAAATTTATTTCTTTCGTCAAAATTTTCACTTTGCATATTAGGTAATTTTAGGTAGTGGAATGAACGATGGCTCCATTGAACATGAATTCTATTCTACATCAATTTCTGAAGACGGAACTGCTTCTCACTTACCTCCTGAGATTTGGAAAACATTTATTAGTTTAGGATATTTATTTATTGTTACGTGGATTACCGCATTTGTGATGGTTATAGTACACGATAGAGTGCCTGATATGAAAAAGTATCCACCATTACCAGACATTTTTTTAGATAATGTGCCACATATACCTTGGGCCTTTGATATGTGTGAAATAACTGGGACATTACTCTTTGCTATATGGCTACTTGTTCTTATTTTTCATAAATATAGGTAAATTAAAACAATCGAATTTATTAAGCTTTTAATAAATCAGGATGAATTGAAACTTATTAAGAAAAATTAATATAAAGAACTGTTATCATTTGGTATCCTGTATTCACTTTAGGTTTATATTGTTACGAAGATTTTTTGCTTTATCAGGGACAGTTTTTTTATTAAGATGTGTCACAATGATAATTACTTCACTTTCTGTACCAGGAGCACATTTACAATGTCAGCCAAGAAATATTCCTAATGTGGATTTATCTATGTAAGTAAACGCTAATTCGTAACATAATTATGTGTTTTTTCTTTTTTCTTTTTCTTTTTTTTTATAATTAATGACAATTTCCTTTTCTGAAAAATACATAGCTGTTATTGTATATTAAGACTATACATTTGCACTATTTTTAAAGACATTCGAAAAATTTTGATGTAATAAATCAAGACAATAAGCATTGTTACTGTATCACTTTATAAATAATTTAAATTATGTATATTTAAATTTCAGCAGTTTCTATAATGAACTTTATAATAAGATTGAAATGGCTTATGTGATATGGCGGGGTGCTGGTATGTCAATTCAAGGAGTTAGAACTTGCGGAGATTATATGTTTAGTGGACACACCGTAGCACTAACAATGCTGAACTTCTTTATTACAGAATGTAAATATATATTATTATTTCCTTCTTTTGTCACTTAATGCGCAATTCATTCGTTATTTAAAATATTAACGAATAAGTTTTAAATTTTATCAAATTGAATATTGCAGATACTCCAAGGCAGCTTTATTTTGTTCACACGTTTACATGGATGCTCAATATGTTTGGTATTTTTTTCATACTCGCTGCACATGAACATTACTCCATTGATGTTTTCGTTGCGTTTTATATTACTTCCCGGTTATTTTTATACTACCACACATTAGCAAATAATCAAGCATTAATGCAGCGAGATTCGAATAGAACGAGAATTTGGTTTCCGTTATTCAGTTTCTTTGAATCATCTGTGGATGGAATTATTCCAAATGAATATGAAACACCATCGATAATTATTTATAATATGATCAGCACCATTAAAGAAGTTTGCAATTATATTCGATTATGCTTGA